ACAAGTGCGCGCTTACCACGCGAGCGGTCCGGGATCAAATCCTGGGTCGTGAGTCGCCCGGGCCAACCAAGCCTTCCATCCCTCCGGGGTCGGTTAATTGGTACCAGACTTGTCTGGGAGGATAAAAACACTGACTTGAACATCGGCTGGCCCCGCAAGTCATTGTATAGGCCACATCGCATTCAAACGCCACTGCGAATGTACAAATGGAAGTAGAATGCGTGCCGCATCCCAAAAGGGATTGATCAACGGCAAATGCTTTATCCTTTTTTTTTATCCTTTATATTCGATTTATTACCGCCTTTCTGTATTCCTCTCGTCTGACTTCACATTCACTTTGGTAGAATATTTTTGAGTATAATTGGTCCGCAAAAAGACTTGCGGAGGGCAGCCGATGTTCCTGCTTCTCCAGACAGGTCTAGTAGTGATTGACTAACAACGGAGAGAGGGAATGCTGTGTTGGCCTAAGCGGGTTCAAATCTCTAGAGTGGTGCGTGACGCCTTTGAACCACTGTCACTTCTTCACTTTTGCAGTGATGGAATTTTCGAATATGATTTTTCGCTTTTTCCTTTCCTTGAATTTTTTGACTCTGTTGGTGAATCAAACGGTGAGCATCTCACATGGTGGCAAATTGGCGTCGTGGAATGGCAGCGGCGACTAGCAGCTTCTTTACCAGAACGACCACGCTTCCCCTCATGATCAGTACGGCTCTTCCTACTATTAAACAGGCAAGACCCTTCCTCTTCGAGGGATTCTTGTCGTGATTAACACTGCTATCAGGTTCTCCTCAGCCAACAGCGTAAATTTCCTCAACACTCATTCGATTTGTAATATTCTTCTGAACCTGGGCATAGTCAAAGGTTAACCTATGGAGTAGCGAATGAGAATAAATTACCTAAGTTTATTTCATCGTGATCCCAAGGAATTTGAAAAGGTCGTACTCAGAAGCGCTTTATCGGTTCACATTACCTCTTACAACGAATGGAGATGTTGAAACGTGAGCATTCGTCGAGGTCTGGCTCAACATCACGATAAAGAGGATGAACGCCCAGAACTGCTTCTTATGTTATACCATAATCACGAGCGAAGTATACTATTCGTACGAAGCACTTTAATGCCCATCTCTATAACGAAAGTAGTAAAGATTGAAAGCTGGCAGGAGGGCACTGACAAGGGAGGTCTCTTTCAGGGCAAGGTGCGCTTTTTGGAAACGGTTTAGTACATGTTGTAGGGACGCATGTATGGACCACAAAACCATGTTTCGTTTTCGCTGAACGGTTTTAGTAGTACCAAAAAAGTGGTGAATAATACTCTTGATGGTTCAATCCCCCGCGGCGACTAAATTTTGCAATCAAGGTTGGCGGCCACTTGTTGGCTTCAAAATGGTCCTGACGATGAATTTGACATCTGATTTTGATATTTAGCGCGATTTGGCACCAAACCGTAGGCGCCAACCCAAATGCAAAATTTAGTCGCCACGGGGGATCGAACCCTTAACAGTACCTTATGCTGCTTTTTTTGGTACTGCTATAACCGTTCAGCGAAAATAAAACATGGTTTTGCGTTCCCTACATGCGTCCCTACAATATGCACAAAACCGTTTTGAAAAAGCGCACCTTGCCCTGAAAGACCTCCCTTGTTAGGGGAACTGGCAGATACTGTAACTGATAGGCATGTGACGCATTAGAAGCCTTGCTACCCTATCTCAGTTTCTTATAGTAGAGGAGCATCACGAACGCGTTTTTGAATGGTTGCCTCTATGTGCCACCTAAGAAATGATCAAGCAACCGAACTGAAAAGCAAAATTTTTCCGCCACACGGGTCCAATTCCTGGAATGCATCTACCGATTTCAATCCATGACAATTTTTCAGTATAGAAATGACTCGCTTCAGAAATAGAGAGATTAGGGCCGTAATGTTTGGAAAGTCGATTTTAGTGAAAGCACTGATCACATCTGTCGTTTGCTTTTTCTTTCCAGATTGCTTTGCGCCATAGCTTATTCTCCTGCCGCGAAAACATGCTGCCCGTTAGATGAATCGGGCGTCGGGATTCTTAGAATTGTATTTGCCTCAATGGGAGAGATAACCGGAAAAAAGGGGGTCGATTTGGTATTTCAGGAGAGTCGAGATTTTAGAAGACAGTGGATTTCAGCGGCGTGGAACTTAAATACTATTATTACTATTGTTTTTTGAGTAGTTACATTCGTATAACTTCGTATAATGGGAGAAGTTTTGAGAGGCAAATGTTGTAATAGTCCGTAGGCCGCTGGTCTCGCAAAAAATGAGCGCCATAGACACGGGGACTCGTTTTCCTTAACCCTTAGACTACGAATGTTTTAAAATATGTTATTGGTGTTGTGTCGTCGTTCGGTCCTACCATAAGCTAACCACCTATAGACATCTGGCTGACATATGCCGGATTTGACTGAGATTTGATCCAGGGATAATCTACGCGGTAACGGCCCCTCTTGTCACCACACCTTCTCCCCGCTCAAATATGTAGTTCACGAATATAAGTAGTAATTTAACGACCATTCACAGATACACATTGCTCACATTTCATTCGTGAAATAGCCTATGTTGCGAATTGGGAACGTACTTCTTATAATAGAAGAATTGCAAGCGGCAGCTCTGTTGAGGCGGTCGGCTCGCTAACGGCTGCTTTTGTTAACTTATTCTTGCCGACTTCCACTACTTGGAAATCTGAAGAAGTCTTCTAACCAACTTCGCACCTCCGAACTGCCACTTCGAGTCGGAGTCTTCAAAACTATTGTGCAACGCCGCGTCGTCCTCTGGCTGGCTTTCGGCCGATAAATGCTCCCACTCTATTTGTTGTGTTGCACGGATGTATGATTAGGGCGATACTGAGACGATTAGCGCGAGTATTGGAAGTTGAAAGGCTTGAAAAGTTTTTTGGGAGCTGGCGCCCACTGGAAAGTAACCAGCGTAATGGCTTGCTTTATTGACTTCTCCAAAGCAGCCCGCTATGTCTTCTAAAACTTTGCTCATAGAGTAGAAATTACAAAGTTCCTATTTGTGCACAATTTTGCCATCAGCGGGCGCTCCTGTCTCAGTAAGTCCCAAGACTGTAGCAGTGCTTTGAACTACGAAGGTGGTGCACACGTGTCCCGACAGTAGTCAAAGGGTTAAGGGGGGATCGTAACGGGCCTTCCAGCAGAGCGATTTCATACATCAGCGGCCGTTTTCTCGATGTGAAACTCTCTCCTATAGGGACAAGCACTGCACTTAGTCCGTGATTAGGACCTTTTGAGTTTTTTCCAGAATAAGAATTTGCGAAAGGGCTCGGCCATATTCTTATTGAGACGATTCGATGCAGGTTCATTTTCATTCCTCCCACCGTTCCACTCATCCAAGTAGGCTCTCTGTGCAAGTTTCATCATCGATATTGTTCGTATTTGACTAGTAATTATATATTATATAAAAATTGTGATTTTGTCCTATGAAATTTGTGAAAGTGCAGCATAAAATATGTACAGTAATCGTTCGTTGTTGGTCCCTCTCTAGGCGGTCAGAAAAAGCTCCTGAAAAGTTTGAGGAGTGAATGTTTTACTTGTGGGGAGTGGAGAACATCCTGCCATGTAAATGAACACGCTACTAGGCCTCATGCCAACAAGCCCTCTCTCTTGGGTCCTCAATGGGAACCAGACTTGTTGGGAGGGGGGAACACTGACACTAGCTGATCTGCAAGTCTTTCTATAAGCCAAATCGCATTCCAATGTTCTAGATTTTGAAACTGAAGTATGTATAGGTCGTATAAAAGATATCGCAGATAGCGCTTCGTATAATAGAAAGGGGTTGGCCAGTGCCGATCCGCTACCTACTATATATAATTCGCTAAGTATGTCTGTCTGTGTGTGTGTGTCTGTCTGTACGTACGTCCGTCTGTCACGAAATTCATAGCGCGCTTCGCTGCAGGCATGGAACGCTGTATTTTGAGTATGGTGTAGGGGGTGGGACGGCAACATATTTGGTGGGGTTTATAAAGTGATACCGACTGATAAGATCTGATAAGAGGCGCTGAAACGCAAATTTCACGAAATTCATAGCGCGCGTCCCAGCAGCAGTGGGGCGTTGGTTCCAAGAAGTGATGTACAGGGTGGGACGGGAACATGTTCGGTGGGGTACAGGAGGTGATAAGGGCCGATAATTACGGTATTCGTGGGAACATATAGATCGCTTAAAACCGTGGTTCTAGATAACGCATTTCACTTCAGTAATCATCTCATTGCGTTGTTGTCATCAACATAAAATACCGTTCGACCGCTATATTCCCAAAATCCCTAAGAATGTATGATGGATGTTTAGCGATATACGATATGGGTATTTCTATTGCAAAATCATTGGCATCAATATTATTCGACCGCTAAATCATCCTGATATCCAATGAATGGTGGTTGTTTACAGACACCACTTTAGCTCCGCACTCCACCGCGCGTATTGAGACGTTGTTAAAAATGGAGCTCTGTTCACGAAGCAAGTTATTGTTTAGCGCGGAACCTAACGCTCCGCCGCTGGCCAGCTTTACGGAGCCCTTCCGTGTCATGCACGCGGTAGTGTGCGGAGCTAAACTGGTTTATTATAATGGAGTATAGCATACATTGACAACCCCTTCTTTCATCATTACGCTTTGTTTTCACTGATATAGTCCTGGAACCGGGATAGGTGGGGATGGTGGGCTAAGGGAGGGGGGGGGGTAGGGTCTTACGTCACTGCTGTTCCTCCACCGCTCCTAGTGAAAAGCTGCTAGCTTGCGCGACCGAAATCCGAATGTACTGCTCGTCCACCATGTCTTATACTTCAGCTTATCAAATATGACCAAGCTTCAACATCAGATTTTGTTTCTAAATCCGTTCGTGAATTTTGTCGTGAGCGTCCATCTGTCGTTATTATCGAGTGCACTTGTGAAGTAGAAACGTCTGTTATCTAAGCTCGCGGAGTGAAGACCAGAGCTCGACGTCGGTTCGGCTAGCTCGCCTCTATGCCGTCGCCGTTGTGCGTCTTTCTTCTACTTAATGGTGCAGCACTGGCCGATTTCCTTGTGAAACCTCGTGTGGTCGCTTCAGTCAATTATGACGGTTTGTCTACTTCTTGTTCAGAAGTCAGCGCTGTTTTACATGAGAATCTTCTGCATTCCTTGAATAATACAATGAGGTAAACTGCTCGCGTTGGTGAGGCGCTCCACCAAGGAGGCTCAACTCACGGAGCACTTTACAGCTCATTGTAAGCAGGCCCATTTTAGGCAAAGGGAAAGTGGGGAGAGCTCAGGCTGTAACCTATTAATTTGAGAGCTTTAGGCGATTTTGGGGTTCTTTTGCTCTGACCCCGAGCGAGTATTGTTTTTCTTACTGAATTCAACAGCTATTTTTGCTTTAGCCCAATCTTCTACAAGAAAAACTCATTGCTCGAATAATGTCGAATCAGAAATCAAGAAAGCATATTTGTTAGCTGACTAGCACGCAGCATGCGTGAAAATCAAAAAAACCCCCCCTCTGGCTCAGTATGTAACTGTCGAGGTTACCGTCCTATCTCGCTAAGGGGGCTCAAGTGTGATGGGCAGCGAAACGTGTAGTAACTTGTTTAAAATAAATCAGCTGTACTTATGTAGGAGATTACACTTACTTAGACTTAGTTCCTCCCGTGCTGTTGAGCACATCGGGCGACGAATTCTTTCCACTGCTGACGATTTTGCGCAAGTGTTTCACATTCATCCCTAGAAACATCCATGGTCTTTAGGTCATTATCGAATGTTCGTCTCCACGTGTTTCTGGGACGGCCCCTTGCTCTCTTGGCTCCTGGAGGGACCCAGTACATGGCCCTTCGTGGAATGCGGTGTTGTGGCATACGTAGGATATGTCCAGCCAGTCGGACAAAAGAGTCACTTCCCTTCACAATTCCACACGATTACACGGTTTGCGAGACCGGACCATGAGCTTTGCTGTATATTGAAGAACGCCACCTATCCAGTCAAAAAGTTACATGACAGCCTTCTACACCGACGACATCAGAAGATTTTCCCACGGAAACATGGTTCACGGTACGAGCTCAACGAGGTCGTCGAGGTACCATAGACCATTACGACGTCCCTGAAACGCTGGTCAAAAGCGGTTTTGCATAGTCACAGCTAATGTCTCTGGGAAGCTATTCAACAGTCAAATCATTGAAGAAATTATGTAGCAGCTTCAGGCCGGAGCGATTACGGTAAGCCTCGTTGAGCTCGACGGTGGCGGCAGATGACGTCATATTGTATAGTGACTAATGGCGCGGCGTCAACGCCGAGCGGCTCTGGGATGAAAATTTCCGGTCCGATCAAATCCTGGGTCGTGAGTCGCCCGGGCCAACCAAGCCTTCCATCCCTCCGGGGTCGGTTAATTGGTACCAGACTTGTCTGGGAGGATAAAAACACTGACTTGTACATCGGCTGGCCCCCGCAAGTCATTGTATAGGCCACATCGCATTCAAACGCCACTGCGAATGTACAAATGGAAGTAGAATGCGTGCCGCATCCCAAAAAGGGATTGATCAACGGCAAATGCTTTATCCTTTACAACGTAGTAAGAAAAGTCTAAATAGCTGCAGACTGAGTAAGTATAAACTGGAGTACGGCGTTTTGGTATTTTGGTTTGTCACTCGCTCATAAATGGACGAGTCAACCTTTCTCCCTCGTCCCTTGTATCTCGTTTTCTGTCAAAAGCTCTTCAAACACTCTAAGCAATGCCTGGAGTCAAAATGATCCACACGATCTTTTGGTGTTTTTTTTTGCTTCCTTCTTCGCAGCCGCATAACATAGCACCGCCATCCTGGCATACGACCAGTAACTGTTTTTTGCCGCACTCCGTCAAAGGTATTACAAGGTTGCTAGGTTGTGAGGCGAGTACGCGCATCTCTCCTTCTGTGCAGTTGTTATGCGCGTGAGTGTTGATAAGCTGATAAATATTCTTCTGTAGAACATAGTGTTGGGAGCTAATGGTAAGTTAATGGTGGTACCAGTGATGTATCGGTGGAATCAGTATGCCCAGAATCGAGAGGTGCGAGATCGATTCCCGCTTAGGGCAAAGTGTTATATCCACTTTTGTCATAATTTCGGATTTAGTTGTGATTCTGGAATTTCATGCACCATTAGTACTGTAATAGAGTGGTTTACTATGAAGTGATGAGATCTCCTCCCACCTCATTGTACCCACAGTTTTTGAACCATCGCCTTTTGAGAACGCTATTTTACTTGCAGTATTTACAAGGCAATTTTCATCGAAATTTTTCTTTCATAACTGCATTTATTTTTGTTTGACAGAAATGTGATCTAACAGCGGATAAAAGGGCGGATTATGTGAGAAGCTATCGACAGGAGAGCTGTTTCTCCCAGGCAGCGTGCTAACCCGAAAATAAAATACAACATAAACTCAGTACTTTCCCATGCTTTCCCATCTTGCCAAGGGAAGTCCATGCCAGCCGTCATTGGAGCATCAACTTTAGTAGGAGTAGCTAACTAAGTCTTGCCTTTAGCCATTGCACTGCTCCATATGGACATGCTCTCGTATGGACATGGATTATTCTAGGAATTTCATATCCCTCGAGATGAGCTCTAGTGAGCGAAGCAAGCAGGATCTTCCTTATGGGACAATGAGGCCTTTATTTGTTATCAAAGAAGTCAACAATAAAACTTGCTTGAAAAATGTGAGCATATTCAGATTACTCACTGCTATGTGCTGATGGGATCCCGTTGCTGATGGAGGATCATCGACCTCGGCCCTGTCAACCTCGGCCGTGGCTGCCCGAGCACAAGTAGGCTTCACGAGCAATTGTCACGTTCTTTCGCTTTGTTTGATCATAGCGTCGGAGTCGCTTGCAAATTTTTCACGGACGTTCGCTTTCTACAGGTGTCCAGCGAGTTTTTGGTGTCACGAAGGCGACGATGAGTCCAGCTATTATTGCTGTCCAAGGAACAGAAAATGTAGGTTTTTCCTACCATCAGAATACGCTACGCTTTACGCTTATCATGATGGTCTACACACCCTGCTAGAACAGGGTCATGGGAGCCCAATATGGGTAACCATTCAATCTATAGTTTGCGTGAGGTTACCTTGCAGGGTCAGGATCTTGCAGACCTGGTCGGCGATTCCTGGGTTTGCCTGATTTTTCCTTACCATGTGTAACCTTCTGCTTCTTTCAACAGGTAGCCGCTCTATTGTGAAATGTGCCTTCAGTTCGTCGTCTCGTGTCGTTCTTCTCTAGCCATTCAGTAGAGAGAGAGCGTTAGCGTTGAAGAGGGCAGCACCGATGAGAGTCGCATCAATGCGGAAATCAACGGGCAAGGAAGGGGTCCCATTTCTCGGGTTCTGGGCCGTTTCTCATGGTTTTTTCTTCCTCCATGCACCACTAGCTCCACCCTTATTTCTGATGGGCTGCTTTGTCATCGTGAGATCCAGAGGCCTTCAGTTGTTCTCGCCTTAGTGCCGCTTATCACTACTACAAGAACCCTTTTCCCCTGCTGCCTCCTAGCAATTTGGCGACATTCATTACTAAATAGCCAGGATAGAACCACGAGTAAAACGAATTCACAAAGGATAGAGTCTTTCGTTTAGCTTTGAACCGTTGTCATTTGCTGCCGTTGACTGGCCATGGAAATCTCACTATGCGGCGATTCTACTATGACTGGACAAGCGACGGCTGCCATGAGCTCCACTACACCGGAATCGGCGGCAACGAGAACAGTTTCATGACTTATGAAGAGTGTGAGGATGCCTGCAGAGGTAAATATTTACGTAAGCTATGAAAAATTTATTTTTCTCATGCTCTCTTTGGAGCCTCTGTTTCTTTACTACTCAAGTGTATTGTATTTTTTACTGGGGTGACCTGTGATTACCTTTTTTAAAATTCCTATTTACGACCCATCCCCATGATGTCGAGACACCAGAGACTTTTAACAGGGACGAATTTTCGGATGACCCGTTTCTGATATTGCGGTCTAAGGGTACATTGTTGGATCGCTGTCTAGATTGACTATTAGAATGTGTGAGAAAGGGACAGATCAATGAAATCATTTTCATTGTTTTCCTTTTCCTTCAATGCGTTTCATGAACCAAGTCCGGGCGGCCCGCACTACTACCGGGATTTCTCGATCGTCGCGGGCCTCCGGGATCAGTTGAACCACGTATATAAGTATATCAAATCCTACAAAAGTCGGGCTCGTAAGGGGCGGGAAGCCAGAGCTTTCCAAAATGTTCGACATGTTTATTTGGGCTCTCAGAGCTCGCTCTTCGAAGGAATACCTCCTTAAATTGGATTAGCTGATGCGGCCCAACGGCTTGGCAGCCAGGAGTATCAGTTTGATGCTATTTTAATGATTTATTATCGGGAAAATCGAAACAAAATAACATAATCTGATAAAAAGAAGTGGAGAACAAAAAACATAAGTCTCCGATATGCACATAGCTTCACACTGCATGAGAGAAAAGGCGAAGAAGCTGAGGAGTGGAAATCGCGCCTGGAAGCGACAGTGGGGCGCCAACACGGTGCGAGCTCAAGATTTATCAGCACACTCCAGTTACTGATTCTATTGGGCTAAACAAGAAGTCGTGCCGGGGCCCTTTTGATCTGGAAATCGTAGTGTGTCAGAACTGTACGCATTTAAATAAACTTCTCTGAATACGAATAAAAGGTGCTGGAGTCAGGGTTCCCCGCTACAGGCGCCGCTCGTTTAGTTCAGTTTTCAACTTGCATTCGAAATTCGGGACAGAAACTAGCAAAACAGGCGTGTGAAAGAGGGTTTAGCCTCAATTTGCCCCGTTCGGATGCTGGGTTCAATCTCACGAGGCCACACCTCTGCACTCAAAAGATTGTATTTAAAAATGGTCCTATTATAAGCATCACTCCCATACTGATTGGCGTGCTGATAGGGACCTCAGAAAAACTACCTTTGGTAGAAGATTGCCAAAATTACTTGCACTCATTTTTGAGGAAGACAGCAGCTACGATGGCTGGGGTGTGTTGCGGTTTTGGTGACGTCATTGAAAGCCATTGGTGGGAGGGCTCCGAAAGACGCTTTCAACACGCTTTTCAGCGTGCTGAGGGGTCTAGCTCACCAATGACGTTCCTGATGTCATCAAGCCATACCCCTCTCCAGCCGTCATGATCTCTGTTTTCAAGGAGTTCCGCGACACGACGTATGCGCTTTTTTGTCTTAAAAGTAGAATTGAATGTGCTTTTTGGTGAAAAAATGCGTGAAGTGTGGAAATTTCCCAAGAATGCTAGTTATGACAAAACGCCCAAGGCGCACTCTTAACCGCCACCTCTTGGTTGCCAGGCAATTGCGCTACGAGTTACGCTAGAGGCACCATTTCGCCCTAATTCAGTTTTTCATGATGTGTTTTATGAGCTTAGCGAAGCTTAAGCAAGCGAGATGTGCGGGTTCGAGTCTTGCCTGGGAGCGAAAGTTTTGTCATAACTAAGCATTCTTGTGAAAACCTTCGCAGGGAGAACTGCGGCCGGAAACAGCACTTAACGGCCAAATACATTTTTCATCTAATTACAACGTATATTTAGGAGCAGGTGAACCATCGGTGAATCCTTCGGACGGCTCAAAAATCTCGAAGAACAAAAAGATCACTAAAAAACCATCGACAACGACGACAACAACGCCTGTTCCAAGTTCAATGTCTACAAATGAGGTTCTGACGCCCTTTTACAATCCGCTTGATTTTGAGTGAAACCACTTTATCTAGAGCTCCAACGAAGGAAGGGCAGAGCAGTACACAGTTGCCAGGTTCAAGAGAGAATACAGAAGTTGAGATTCCTTCAAGCAACACAACGAGGGCGCCACCTCCCATAACAGGTTAGCCAGCTCTTGCACATTTTCATTATGCTTCATGCATGTTCGACGGTGCTTTTCTATTAGTTGATAAAATTCTCTACCTGGTGTGCCATATAGATTTTTTAGTTACAATATTTATGTGAATATTTCGTCCTTTCTTTTATTTTAATTTACTTTTTCATGCACATAGTACGTAGATAATTATGGCAGGCACACATATGTAATGTATACTATTTTATTAAGTTTGCTGAAGTTGTTTCAATGTTACTATCTACATCAACAGGATATTCAAACTCAATAATGTCGCAAAACGATATAGTAATTAAGGTTCGCAAGTCGCCTCGGTAGAGCCGGTGACGGTCCCTTCAATCGACAACTCCGAGCAACCTTCAACTTCGAAATCAGCCGAGAACAGTCACGAGACTGTGCAAGTGAGAATTCTCTGGCAAGACAAAAATCCTTGCGAGCTGCCTGCCAGTGCCGGAACACCCGGAGGAGTCGCCAGAAAAATGTGGGTAGTTACACTTGTCGTGTGTACTTAGGGGGTGAACTTGACTCCGGTAGTTGCAGCTTTATTGGCCGAAGCCAGACGTACAATTGAATCACACTTATTCAGTGTCACTCTTATATAGGCGCGACTTGGTTTATATCACCACTTGATATCGTGATATGATATATCGCCTGTAACAGCTAGATTTCTAGTGCTCAACAACTACTATTCCACTTTATAACAAAACAATCAAAAGCTAACAGAGTTCCTCTTTTGTAACCCTTTTGAGAATCCATGGGACTTTCAATCTCCACACAGCGGCGATGAAGTGCATGTTCTCTAATAAAGTCCATGAGTCAAGACAACACGTCCTCTGTGGTCCACAACCGAAAAAAAAACTTATTTGAGCCCAAACTGTTAGGTTGAGCAAAAATTATCCGCCGTTTTTTCTCAGGTTCATGGCTCTTTGACTTTGCTGATTACTTTTGAATGGTGTATGTAGTTTGAAAGCACTCAATCTCTTGCACTTTTTGATATACACCACTTGTGTATTTGCTT